CAGCCCAGTTCAAGATTAAGCCTGTGGAAAATCAACGATTGGAAGAAACCAGAAAAATCTTCCAGTCGAACTCAAGATCAAGCCTCGATGGCCCTTGAAGAAATTTCCAGCCCAATTCAAGATCAAGCCTCGACGGCCCTTGGGTTGACATCTACATTAAGGGACTTCAAAACGCATCTTCTACACGTGACAAGCACATGTCTACGACGCGCCTTGAAGTGGGGGCATTTGTAGACATCAAAATTTCGGTGAAATGAATGTTGACCAATAATTAAAATTTCAACGCTCACGTATCACATAAATTTTACATGTAGCGTGTGACTCAACGAAAAATCGAAATAAATTGGAAAAGTCATCAAATAGGACACGTGTCAATACCTGGCAGAAATGATTTATTTCATCTGATTATTTAAATCCAAAAATCAAGTTTTGGAATTCTATAAATAGGAAGCCAAGGCATTCATTTTGGGGAAGGAAGGAGAAGGAAGAAAGAAGGAAAAGAAGGAAGAAAGAAAAAAAGAAGGAAGAAAGAAAGAAAGGAAGGAAGGAAGAAGCCTTGAAACTCTAAAGCTCTCAAGCAAATCCCGAAGGATCAAGAAAGCACTCTTCGTTCATCGTTCATCATCCATCATCCTTCAAGATCAAGCCCCAACGGCCCTTGAAGAACTTCCACCAACTCAAGATCAAGCCCCGACGGCCCTTGAAGAAAGTGTTCATCGCTCATCATCCGTTCATCCTAAGATCAAGCCCCAACGGCCCCTTTGGATCAACAACCTCAACAAATCCACACATCCAATCAACCTTCAAGATTAAGCCCAGAAGCCCTTGAAGATCCGCTCATCCATCAACCTTCAAGATCAAGCCCCGACGGCCCTTGAAGAACTCCAACCAATTCAAGATCAAGCCCCAACGGCCCTTGAAGAACTCCCACCAACTCAAGATCAAGCCCCGACGGCCCTTGAAGAAAGTGTTCATCGCTCATCATCCGTTCATCCTAAGATCAAGCCCCAACGGCCCCTTTGGATCAACAACCTCAACAAACTCATACACCCATTCTTCAAGATCAAGCCCAACGCCCCTTGAAGATCCATTCATCAACTGTTCATCCTTAGATCAAGCCCCGACGGCCCTTTGGATCAACAACTCATCCACAAACCCACACCCTACGAAGATAGAATCAGAGGATCAAATTACAAAGAGATTGTAACCCCAAAATCATTAATACAAATATATATTTTGTACACGTGTTCTTGTCTCTTGTTTCAGGAATTATTCGTGTTTACACTTATGTACTTACCTAGCGTAAATTAGCTAGTTTGGTTTTTATTTACCCACATATTTATATCACTATCACTTCCGCACTGCGCATATGGTTACGTCACCCTCAAGTGATGGTCAACATGCCTCGATTTAGGTCAGGGTGTGTCATCCGTAGAATCCAGAAATCATTTTAAAATTAAATATAAATAGTACTTAACAGAAACTGACCGGACATTATACGATGAACGGACATGATTTTTGGATCCCTAGGAAAAGGGTCCGGCGAGGATCCTTCTCCAAGAAACAACTAGGTCAACTCAAAATTGTATTATATAAAGAAGAGTAATGCTAAGGAGACTAAATTTGCAAACTAAATGATGTGTCACTAATAAGAATGAACATGTTTATCAACGCTTAAGTAATAAATCAATCATCAACTTCCATGTTGCTTACCCTTATGAATAGGAGATGAATAGCGACTATTGCTTACCCTTATGAATCTAGCTTCCAGAAGATCCTTTACACTTCTCAATTTTTGTTTTCTACACTAGCCCATATCTATAGGGTCTGCTATTTGGTGATGTGTTGCCTTCAATCAAGGGAATTCTATGATCTTGAACCCTATGAGGAGGAATTGTACTAGGTGTAAGAAACACTACTTCAAATTTTGCCAATAGGTTGTTTCAATTCTAATTGTTGTTGATCTGTAAGATCACAGAATGAGAGTTTGTAGTTTGTGACTCCAGGTGATGCAAAAACATGGATTTAGGTTCTAAATGGTAGAGCACTGCACCCACTGTGGTCTCATGTTGCAGTAATTTTTGCATGAAATATCCTCAAAATTGTATCAACAATCTCAGGACTTGTAATGCAAAATGTCCTAGAATCCTTAGAAAACTACATATACAACTTATCAAAGTCCTAGAGAACAGGACCAAGTGTTCTCAGCCATTGGATACCTAAAACAATATCACATCCACCCAATGGACTAGCATGCAAATCTGTGATTAAATGGAAATCCTGAATCTTGACAAAAGCGTGAGCTAAAGTACCCTTTGTAGCTACTATACCCTCATCAGCAATCTTGACATTAAACAAATGTTTACTATCCAACTGTGTTCTTAGCCTTTTGACCAATCCCAAATCCACAAAGTTATGGGAACTGCCTAAATCGATCAATATAGTGACAGGACAGTTTTTAATCAACCCAGAATCTTTCATAGTGTTGATGGAAGGAGGAGCAGGGGTACCAAAAAGTGCACAAGAAGTTATTTGTGGTTTATCATTCTCTAATTCCTCGGTATTATCAATCACAGGATCTTCAACATCAATCAACAACAACTATTTCTTTTCACAAGTATGACCCCTCACAAACCTATCTTTGCAATGAAAACATAAACCATTTCGTCTACAATGATCTACCTCCTCAGGTGTTAACCTCCTAACAAGTGCTCTTAACATGATTTTCAGGCAAATTTGCAATATTAACAATCTTTGACAATGGACATTGAAAATTGGGTTGAATAGCAGAATGTTTGTAAAGAGATTTCACCTTAAGCTCTGTGATCTTTGCGTCCACTTGTTGAGCATAAGCAACAACTTCAAGTACATCTTTTGGCTTGAGAAGTTTAACATCATGCCTCAATTTAGGCTTTAACCCACCAATGAAACACGATCGAAGCAGTCTTAGACTAATATCTTTTGTCCGATTTGTGAGTCTATAGAATTCAAGAACATAGTCCCTAAGCATACCAGTTTGCCTCAATTTCACTAAACCTTCAGCAGAATCTTCCATTTTAGAAGGACCAAATTCTTGGCAAAGAATATTTGTGAATTCTTCCCAAGATGGATAGTTAGTAAGGCATCGAGCCCACTGAAACCACTGAAGTGTTTCCCCTTCTATGTGAAAAGATGCGAGTTTGACCTTCTTAGCATCATCAATATTAAAGACATTATAATAATATTCCGCTTTGTAAATCTACCCCAGCATATCATCACCTTCGTTGAATCGTGGAAAATCCATCTTCAAGAAAGGTGTGCGAGGCTGGTGATTGAAATTCTGCCTAGTTTCTTGACGAACATAAGTTAGGGTTCATCGAATTATGAAATTGGGGATCACCAAGAGTTGCCTCTAAAGATTCCCCAAGAGAGCCACCGTTGTAGCGCTCCATGATAGACTGCAATTGAAGGAGAATCAAATCTTGGGTACACTTGAATTCGTCCTATGAACTCTTGAATTCGTCCTGTGAACTCTTGAATTTGTCGAACTTGGACTCCAAATTGGAAATGCGAGCTTCTATGGTTTTGCACGAGGTTTGGCGCGTCATACAAAAATGAAGGATTGGTAGGATCAAAAGGCTGATACCAATGTTAAGTCCTAGCTACTTCTTCAGAGATTGCACAGAGAGTATAACAAGAATACGAAATACTACTTCATTAACCGTTCTGCTGCTGATACAAGTTTACTATATGTGGTAAGTTTCCAACTAACTTCATAACCAACTAACCGACTAATTCTCATACAACAATTATCAACTTATTCATGCCACCTGTCATAGCATCCTAACAGTAACTTGTCGATCTTTTCATTTGGTTCTCACAAATTTATACGCATAACGATTAATAAATAAATCAATAATTTTGTAATGGAGATGTTTGGTTCAAACACATCACCTTGTGAGAGTTAGGTTCAAGAGGACCAAGAATTTGGATTAAGTAAAGAATTCAAAATTGGTTCTTGTAGAAATATGCCAAAACCTATACCAAAAATTGGTTCGCGTGGTAATAGACGTATTGGTTCGCGTAGAATACACTTAGAATCCCGAAGGGGAGTTATTCATGTTCTAGTCCTCTGCTAGGGCTTACGGATTCAAGGGTACAACACCCCTTATTTTATGTCTAAACTTTTATCTTTTGTGAGTGAAGAAACCAACCTTATTTTTGTATCCCCTTTCAAATCCAATTTTAAAATGAAAATCGGATTAAGTTTTATTAAATTTAAAAAATTATAAATTAATAACGAAATTTAGATTATATGGATGATCCGATCTGCAATGACCATGAGTGGGAATTGTTTGATTGTCTTTCTCCGAGGAAGAGGGGAAACATATTCAACTTGAATTCAGGACAAGTGAAAGACTGGAATTGTTATCTCAGGTTGGTTTAAACATATATGTTAGAGTATAATATAGATTCATTATACTTAATACATGTAAAGTACTTGCATATTCAAAAAAAAAATTCTCGGACGTTTTAGACGCTCGACACTTGAGCCTTTAGTCAGGCTTGGTGAATCTCTTGATTGCTGTTTGTAATGTGTGCCATTGTTGGGTATGTTCCAAAAAAAAAAATGTAGGAGTTTTAGACTTTGTTATGTGTTGAACTTGCACCACAAGTAATTTAACCTCTCAATCAAATAATTGTGCTAAAAGTGGAGTACTGGCTCATGATCGGTTCGTTCTAATGCCTTGCTTGTCAAGGACTTTCAATGCTTTTCTCAGTGTTATATTAATGGTGGCCGAGATGGGGCTGAATATAAACTGGTTATATTCAGGCACTCCACTTCCGCTCAAGAGAAAGACAGAGAAAGATAAAGCATTACAACAAATACAGAATAATTATTGATAATTGGTATTCAAAACTATAAAACAAACACATATATACACAAATAAAATTAAAATGACCAACAAGATAGTGATCGGGTTGGACCTGAGGCCATGGGATTGGGGCCACAATGTTGCTTCCTTGTAAAGGGATGCGCTCCTTCTAGCAGGTTTATTCATAAAAATGAATCAATTGATGATTACAACAAAACTTTTGCACTTAACCTGCCTCTCCAATTCAACTTCATACAGATACAAAAAGAAAAACGGGAACGAGAGATCATGGACGAAGCTACTTTCACTGTGATCAACACTGAAATGTAAATTTCTACTATCCGTTTCTACGTTTCACTAACAACATGAAGCAGGTCCAGGCCAAACAAATAAAAAAACATTTTAATGCAGGATCACAACGACTGGGATCAGGAGGTCTGCGCATTAAGAGAAGTATACACCGCACCTGAATTTCACCACACCATATATGGAAGTTATTGCTGCTGCTCGTCTTCAGGCATCTCCTCACCAAGACCCCGTTGCACTAATCTGTAATACAAAATAACCATAGTCGCCATGCATGCCCTACACAATGTGTAAAATAATTGCATTAGCAGACTGCAGCTTGTTTTATATGCTGTAGTTCAAACATTGCTATAGTGTGTTAACATTGTACGTTCTCGCAACTGGAATACTTATTTTCGATGATCCAACCATTTATACTTGCAAGAATATAATAAAGCATAAGCAAGGAAGCCGCATCCAGAACAGGAGTTCCAATTGACCCAAAAGCAACTTAACCTCCAATATCACGAGCAATCATGGCACTTACGATAATCTGACATGGTGCACTTAGACAAGTGACCCCACCCCCTCCTTACTCGCCCTAAAGCAGGTTCAGATTACTTCTGTTTTGCCAATTTTTATACCCGTATTTTCTATTTTCTTAGCCAACAAGAAGAATTAAGCAAACAAATATAGCAACGAAGAAAAATGGGGATGAACAGACATTACATGATTGCTATAACAAGTAGGATTTTTCTTGGATCCATTCTTGATGATTTTTTATGTCGGGGACGACCTTCTGGGACATCATTTTCAATTGATCCATCTTTTCGCAGGGGTGCAGTCACTGGTAGAGTTGGCAACGCACTTGACCAGAATGGAAGCAATGCTCTAAGAAACTTATGTCGGAATGGGCCTACCATAAAATAAAATAAAAAACCCACAGGATATTAACTTTGCAGCATTAAAGTGTCAATTTCATTTAGCAAACACCAAGCAAGAGGAGACGTAATATTAGTAAATGTAAACTATAACTTTCATCATCAAATTTCTAGTCTCTATTTTCCAATTTTGTAATTACGTCCTTCCATTTTTTTCTTAAATTAGAAAACTGAGGTTCTTCCATCCACCAAAACTGTAATATGGTTATAGCCTATCAATTTGGCATGTGGTAAATCACCACAAAGTGACAATAATGCTTGTATTTTAGTATACAGGGACAAATAGGCAAAAAATTGATACATGTATGTGGTAAGAAACTGGCATTGCATATGCTATGACTTCCACTAACATCATATAGTCAATTAAGGTGCCAAATCAACATATTAATAACAAAGTTGTAACTATTGTTGATAAAAGAAGGGTCTAACTATACAATTGGATAAGGACCATGTACTTCTAGCATTCATGGACTAACAACATTGTTTCAACTAAAAAGATATATAAAAGAGGGGTCCAATTATGCAATTGGAGAAGAAGGCAAATCGATACTTAGGCAGAACTTGAAGAAACAAAAGTGTCTTTTCGCCTAATAGAATTATAACAAAAACAGTTCTGATCAGAAATGGCATTGCTCATTAAAGCACGCCCTATACCGTAAATTTGATTAACAATGCCACAATAAAGAAAATAATATCATGACTTGAAAATCAACACACACACACACACACAAAACTTTCTACTTACCCCTTCGTGAATACTTTTTACGATTCCCATCTTCATCGTCTGCATAATATGAAATTTCAGAGTTCTGTCGCTCAACTTGCAATGCACCCTTTCGTGTTGTAGCACCAGGCTAGATTTCGTGCCCACACACAAAATGAAATCATGAGACAATTGAAAAACAGCATAAAAAATATCAAGTTGCACATACACGAGCACAAGTCAGTGTGAAATGACACATATAAAGAAGGTAGGGATTCTATCTCCACATGATAAATTCAGTAAATAACAGAAAATTTCCTCTTGCCCTTTACCGGACTCGTGCTTTGCACATAATTCCCTGCCGAACTAGGACTTCCTATCTCCACTATGTCTGCCACTGGATGTATAGAAGGTCCTGCTCCAGTTGTAGCCGCGAAATCAATTACGTTAGGTCCATCTTTTCCTGCGGATGAGCTAGCATTATCGTCCCTTCCTCCATTCAAAGATGCACTAACAAGTGGATCTGAGGAAAATGCAGGAGGAGGACTACGTGATTCTGTCGACAATGAAACTGGATGATTTCCAAACAAGTTCTTTTCCAAGCCAGTCTGCATGACATCAGAAAATTTGCTCACGTTTAACTACTACAAAGGACAAAAGCAAAGGAACAACTGCAACACTCATGCAAAATATGCCTCGAACTTAGCACAACAGCTTAATGAACACATACCAAGTGTACAGCCCTTCACGAAGTGAAGGGGAGCACCTTTCAATAGATATTTGGCCCATAAAAATACACATAAATTAGAATCAAGATGCAGTCATGTAGTTATGCTTTGCCTACGGCAGAATTCTATGGAATAAGGAGTATTTAATTCATCTATTGCAGAGTATTAACAATTCAATACACTTACAATTAATTGTATTGATATCATTCTTACAAGTTTTCCTCTTTATTCCGAACTCTACGGTTAATGTGGTATGTTAGTGCTACTCATTACTGAACGAACCACTTCCACCTCACCAAATTACACCTTTCTAACCTATTTACCAAGAAGCATCAAAATCAGTAGTGAGACATAGGATAATACATCTGCAACCATGTACTCAAACACTTCTATGTTAGGGGAGAGTGTCCTCTACATGTTCTATATTTTCAAACAAATCTGATACCTTCTAGTATTTGAAAGAGATCTAACAGCTAACTTAACTTCATAGTCTAGTATCAACCAAAATAACATTAAATCCAGAGCCAACCTGCTCAAAACCTGTTTCTCTTCACATCATCTCTCTCTGATTAGATCAAGTTGACAAGGACTACATCACAATTTTAGCAGCATTACAGAGAAGACTAAAAGCTACCACTAACACTAAGACTCAGCGTTTTCGTATCATTATTACAGACCGGGGTCAATTTCCTTGTCTGGTTATGTTTATGGTTTGGGAGGGAGGTGACGGTGGGGTGGTGGGACAAGAGGAAGGAGAGAGAGAGAGAGAGAGAGAGAGAGAGAGAGAGAGAGAGAGGGCCTGGGTGGGAGGGTGTTACAGTGGTTAGTGACGTTGGAGAGCCAGAGGGTGGCTCTTAGTGGAGTGGTGGCAGAGATGTGTGGCGCTTGCTGGGTCTGCTTTTTATTTATTTTTTAAATATTTTATTTCATTATCTTACTTTTTCATTCTTTTTTTTTTTACTTAAATTATTTTAAAATTTTGGATTCTTTAGATAATCCATGTGGCAAAAAATAATTGGCCGTATGGGTCCCACATGTGCCACACAATCACCCTAACAGATTTTTTAACGAAATTTGACAGTAAGGAGTAAATTAACGAGTGCAACAATGGATAAGGGATGACATTGATGAGTTTGAAACATAAAGGACCAAACTACTGAGTTGGTAAAAGATAAAGACCATTTTTGATAAAAACCCTTACACACTGCAGTAAGGTTCTATTATGTGATGCAACAAACACCACGTACGAAGCGATATAAAGAAACGGTAATCAAATTTCCATTAAATTACTAGTTTTATGATAATCTCATTGTCAAGAACGAGCCTTGCCTGCATGATAGCTTCCTTCAACTTTGAGTGAAAGCAGGATGCCGAATCTTTCACATTCTTGGGAGGCCACATCTGCACCAACAGATAACCATGTCAAAAAGAATCACATTGATAAAAGCATCACATAAACTCTAAATACATACGCTGAACAAATGTATTCTAATTTTAATAGAACAAGAAAATGCGACAAGAAGGAATCTTACCGGTGTGGAACATGTAGGACAAACATATCCAGCTGGTGCAGTATGCGAAGGGAAACTCTTGATATGTGAAACCAGGCAACTTGTATGTATTACATCTATATGAACAACAAGATAAATGTGTATTACATTGTGTAATGAGTTCAAAATTTTCTTTATCCCTTCAAGAACCAAATTTTGTTTTTCAATAGATATGTGGCAGTAACAATATCTGCAAATTCCTTACGCAAGCAACCCAGCCGAGTCGTTTGGGGGCCAGTCCCCTCATCCAGCTCAACATGACAGAGGCAGCATTTCGGAGGCCAATCATACTCTCCATCTATTACCCATTCTGAGTAAGTACGAATCTACATAGAAATGAGAAGACAAACACAGATCAGGCCTAAAAGGGCCTTAGAACATTCCTCGTATATATTATAATTTTCTAAAAGTATTAGATGCAAAGGGGTTGTTTGGTATCCTTTTTGGATCCAATTTTTAGTTTTTGAAACTAATGAGTATTAAGTAATTTAGCTACATTCATCATTTTTCAAAACAAGACATTGGTATTAAGAAGGATACAAAATAGTCTAATATAACTGCCAACAACCTCCCATAGCACTTGAGCGAAGGTCAAGCGTCTGTTATGTCATATCTATGCCTACCGCACCAACCTAAATCTGACAGGATACTGAAGCACTTAAGGTGACCACAAAAAGGTCAAATTAAGTCATACTCAAATTCAATTACAAGTTGCTTTTATTCTATTAACCAAACCCTTACACCTTTCAATCATAGTATATCCATGTGTTATTTAATATTTGTATTTTATATGAATTTCTATTCCGCTCTCTTCATTACACACAGGTAACCAATGTAGATTGTGTACGTACATATGCATAACCAAATTGAAGCCAAAACCCATTTATCTCCCCGATTATGGTGTGTCCAATTCAGCCATGCGACATGATTATGAAATGAGGAAAATACGTTCGCTGTGCTTTTAATTGAAGTAACAGAACAACCAAATCATGCAGCCTAACAATTACAATACAAAGTTGACCACATAACATACACCGAAAAAGGAAGAAAGAAATGCCTACCACGCATATTTGATGCTCGGGAGAACAGATGCATTCTCCGCAAACAGGAACCTTGTGCACGAAACAATATAGCTTAGTAGCCTGAAACACCAAAATCCCCAATCTCCATCAGCCTTGGAAATCAATCAACGAAAATAAATGAAATCCATAAGAAGGTATAGGAACTAGAATTTCAAGAATTGAATCGCAATCACGAACTTGAACAACAAATCTGAAATATCCCAATCTACAAGTCAAATGCGGATACCAAAACCAATTCACAATCTTATGGATCGCCTTCGTCTCAACATTAGGAATCCGATCCGATCTAAAAATTGAGCTACCAAATCACTCATTGCTCTGTGAACTGAATCGGCAAATGACACAGTAAAATTCTAGGACACCAGTGATCATGTGATAGAGAGAGAGAGAGAGAGAGAGAGAGGTACCTTGCGGCATTTGCAAACCACCATTGCAGCACTGAGAGGGAACCGAAGTCGCTAGGGTTTACAATTGGGGAAGATTTTACTTATCAGTCGGAGTCCATCGTTTCTTCTTTTGACGATTCTAACAAAACTCCCTCGTCAGATTTGCAAAACTTGTCTCTCAGGCAGAGCAGAGCTCACAGGCTCGCTGAACTCATAGGACCAGAGGTCCGTTCGCCTTAATTTGATAGATAACCAACCACCCAAAACAAAACAAAGGACCTGGCACCGCTCTGCTTTTAAAAATAAAAATAATAAAAAAAACTAATGATTTTAAGTTTTAACAATAATGACAAAACAAAGAATAAAGTGAACAATATGATTTTTCGTTAAAGTAAATAATACCGAAAACTTTTCGTTAAAATTCCCTTTAAAAAAACATTTTGGTTTCGTTTTACCAAACACATTCGATGTTTAAGATTTTTTTAAAAATTGCTTTTTTTTAAAATCATCATAATTCCAAATCAGCTAAAATCGATAACTAACTTGGGTAAACTATGCCCTATTTTGCTTCGTATTGTAATTAATTATAATTTTGTTAGCTCGTGCAATCAATTTTAAAAACTTGGCTCAATATAAGAATAATTGTCAATAAAACTAAAAATATGCAGTGTCACTATAACAATTTAAAGTGAAGTGAAATTTTTTTTTAGCACTTGCGGTCCAATGATTTATTTTTTAGAGTTGTCACATTTTGAACTTATTGATATGTATAAGCTCGTTAATATGGACAACTTCTTCAAGTCAAAAGATTTCTAGCCTTTCAAGCATATAATTTGTAGCTTCTCTTCTTGGCATGAACCTTTAGGTATAGACATTTATGCACTAGTTATAGGCTAGCTGTCTTCACCCTTGGATATTCACATGTCATCCATATAAATTTAATTAAGGAGAACTAATGAAAAATAATTTATACTCAAGTCTTGTGGCCATGTGCGAGTTTGGTCATCAACTTGGTGGTTCACTAAAGTACCAAAAGTAGGCAAGTTGAGTTTATTGAATTTATCTACTATGAAATTTTGTTTTCATATCATAAAGTGCTCGAGAGCCATGATAGCCTTCTTTGTATAATCTACATAAAGTGTTGGGAAGTCATGATCACCTCTGTTTTGCGGAAGTCGGTAAAAAACTCGCCTAAGCTTCGTTGGGCCACACCTAGGTGGTTGAGGCACGCTTAAGGCATTTATTGGGCGTCCTTTTTTTCTTTTTGAGTTGCCTAGTTCTAAAATTTTCTGATTCCAGGCTATCTTTCTTCCCAGCGAAGAAGATGAAGAAATCACGAGGCTTTTTTTCTTTTTTTTTTTTTCTCTTTAAAGTTTAAAATGACTCCACTTTGCTGACAATTATTACCATACTGTCTTCCTTTAAGTTCATTTTTTTATATCTTAATTTTTGAGAATTTTTATTAGCACTTCAAAAATCTCGTTCTACACTCCTCACATACGTATTTTTCTCTCTAATTATGCAAAATTTGGAATGTAAAATGAGATTTTTGGACTGCTAATAACAATTCCATATTTTTTTTTCTCACATACAAGATAGATAAGCATCTTTCAGTTTTTGTTTTTAATATTTTTTTTGAAGTTAAAGAAGCATCATATTAGTGACATATCATTTAATTTACAAATTTTGTCTAAAATTTTGGTCTCCTTAATATTATCATGTGCTTTCAGTTAAAAAGTAACTTCGTCCTCACGGCACGTAAAGGTTTCGAGTCTAGGGTTTTGTGGGTGGTGGCTGCTAAAGTGTGTGGCAGCGGTCCGTTCTTCTTTCAGTGACAGGATGGATCATTTTCTTCGGTTATTCAACTCAGGATTGCAGTTGTCAAAGTCTAAGAATCTGGAGGTGGTGATCGATGACACGACGACTGAGAGGCTTAGGGTTTTGAAATACTTCTTGGTTGGTAAGGTTCTCTCCCACAAGTATTTGAGGCTTAATATTGTTATGGGGGTAATTAAAGAGCTATGGCGTCCCAAGGCGAGTGTGGAGGCCACCGCGATTAATGATAATCACATCCTCTTTAGCTTTAATTCCGAAGAGGAAGTTCTAATTGTGCTAAAGGGTAGTCGTGGTTCTTCGGTACATCCTTGCTATTATTAGAGGAAGTCAATAAATTCTAGGTTCTAGTTGATGTTCCACTAAGGGTGGGCATGGTCTGGGCCAAGTCCAAATTTGGAGAACTGGACTGGACCCGTTTTAAAATGAAACGAGGCGGGCCGGGCCGGGTATAGCAATTTTGATTTTTGGAACTGGACCTAACCCGGACCGTTTCAAACAGGCCGGTTTGAGTCGGGTCCACGATTCCAATTAATTTTTTTTTTCCAGACATTCAGCACAGAAGCAAAATCCTTCTTGTAAAACCTTGCCGAGCACAGCAACAACAATAACTCGAAGGGTTGGAATTGCAATAATATCCTAATTAAGTTTTCAAATGCAAACAAATCAAAAACTCACTTCACCTGACTTACAAAGAGAATCAAATGAGTCAGCCGAAACAAGACTGGCCTTTTCAAGCAATACTCAAAGGGTTGGAATTGCAATAATATCCTGGTTTTGGAAATGCAACAAATAGATTTCTGTAGAATTACACAAATTGGAAAAAGCTTCAGCAACCTAACAGGAAAATTAGTGAATAAAAACCCTTACAAAACTTATAGAGCATTGTTGTAATCCATCTGTCGCTCTTAATCAAATATTCGAATGCAGGTTCACTTCTCTAGTAGACAACCTGAGGTAACACAGAGGAACCACCAGCAAATCCATTTACATATGCCTAAGTTGTAGCTCATGTATCATTAAGAAATCAACACTAGATTCAAATCATTAAAATCCATGCCCATAGTCTAAATTAACTTTGTTTCAATTCCCAAAAAAAATCAAATGACCATAAATACCTTCAAATGCTCAGCACTCTCGAAGTCTCTAATCTCTATCACTTTAGAGTAAAGGGGAAAAACATAGCTTCTGACTTTGATAACATAAACAACGCAAGGACCATGGAAATCAAAGATCCAAGAATGACACCTAAGAAATCAAAATATGAGTTAGGGTTAGACATGACAATTTGTTTCCAAGTCCTGACACAGTGACACTCATTGTTTAAATAGAACATTACCCTAGGATCTCAATCAAACTGGCCGAGCTCCTCTAGGCCCGGAATTCAGAAGTCCTACAAAGAAACTAGCTTAGATCAAGATGAAACCATTACCCAAAATAAAGCTGAATACAAACCCATTAGCCAACAAATATATAACTAATAAATTATAAATAAATGAACAATCTGATCAAAACCCATTGGATATACAGAAGCACACAAACAACCACAAACCTAGATGAATGAACAATCTGATCAAAACCTAGATGAAATTGATGAATAAATGAACAATCTGATCAAAGCCCTGTAATTTATAAATTATAAATAAATGAACAATCTGATAAAAACCCAGATGAATGAACAATCTGATCAAAACCACATTACTTCACAGATAAATGAACAATCTGATCAAAACCCAAATGAAATGAGCAGGAGAAATTACCAATTCCACCTAAGACAAAGCTGATACAGCTCCGAAAGGAATATGAAAGTTGGACTGACGAAAGAGATGACTAACGGAGAGTGACGGCTCGCGACGACAATGATGTCAGAGTGGTGGAGGAGTTGACTGAAGGAAAGTGATGAATGGGAGGGGACGACGCACGCTTGACGGCGAAAGAGAATTAAGTTTGAGGTCTAGTCTCCAGTGACACAGTCAAGGGCTTAAGACGAGAGAGACTAAAAGAGAACCTAAGGTAAAACTAACGGTTCAGATTAAATGGTAGCTTACTCTTCAATCTCGTCCATCCATTGCATTTACAAACAGGCCGGTCCGAGTATCCATTTTTCTATATTTTAAGAATCGGCCCAAACCTAAAATTTCAAAGCCCTGCCTCGCCCTGTTTCTCTTTTTAAAAATTAGGAACCGGCCCGTACCTGTCCCAAACCTTGATTACCTGCCTCGACCCGTGTTTCCTATACATGTTTGCCCACCCCTATGTTCCACTGCAGGAGCAATGCTTTTGGGTCTGCATTCATAGCCTCCCTTCAGCGTTCATGTCGAGAGAGATGCGGGAGGTTATTGGAACAACCTTGGTTCTGTGTGTGGAGGTTGATTGTGATAATGATTTCTATTTTGATGAATATATGTGCATTAGGGTTGCCATTGATGTATTCAAACCTCTCCAACGGGGTGTGCAATTAAGGTTGCCATCATCGGATGAAGGATAGCTTATTGGAGTTCTGGTGCAATACGAGCGTCTCCCGTCGTACTATTTCCTATATGGGTTTCTTGATCATAAGTGCAGTCAATGCCATCTCTTTAAAGGTGGAGAGGGTGGATGATTCATGTGTGTTGTATGGCAAATAGCTGCAAGCAAGTAATCCCATGTTGGGATCGGTGCATTGTAATTTGTAAGACTGTGGGCTCGAGCATTAATGGCAAATGGAGGATGGAGGCACGAGTTTTTCCCTAAGGGTGGGTCACGACACTAACACCGATATGGCTGAGGGGAACGGAGATCTTTCAGGGTAAGTAGTGGTTGGTAGACAACTTTGGGGGTGGGTTCGAATATTTTGCATTCTCGGGGGGTTCTAGACCTTGCGGTGGATGAGGTTTTGGGGGTATGCTTACGATGTGTTACTACATAAATGAATGAGGAACTGCTGCGGCCTTACTCGGAGGATGAGATTTTTGGTTTGCCCTATTCCAGATGCACCCATCCAAAGCCTCATGACCGGATGGTATGTCCCCTTTATTTTTTTAGAAATTTTGGCATGTTGTGAGGCTTGATGTGTTGAATGTTGTTCGGTCTTTTCTCACATCTGGAAGATTGTTATGCGAGGTGTGTTTCACTCATGTAGTTCTCATTCCCAAGGTGAATCAGCCGCAGGAGATGTCACAGTTGCGTTCGATAAGTTTATGCAATGTCATTTATAAGATCGGAGCAAAAGTGATTGTAAACCGATTGAAGAAATTTTTGAATTTAATAATTTCCTCGCACCAAAGTGCATTCATCCTAGGGCATTTGATTTCTGATAATACTTTGGTGGCGTCAGAAATTGGTCATTACCTACATAACAAGTGATGGGGCCAAGAGGGTTCTTTGGCTCTCAAGCTGGATCTTAGTAAGGCCTATGATAAGGTGGAATGGAATTTTTTTTGGAAACT